GTTGGGGGAGCGGGTGTCGAGGTGGGCCAGCCGGCGTGCCGCGCTCTCTGCCGACAGCCGGGCGGGGTGGGGCTCCTGGCGGGGCAGGGCAGCCATCAGAAGGGGGAGACCCCCCCCAAAAAGGGGCTGGTTTTTGGGGGGTGGGGGTCTGAGCTACCTTGAGCAGCTGGCAGGGCGTCTGCCCAAAGTTGCTGATGATGCCCTCCAGAGCCTTGCGCTGCGTCTCGTCGGTGATGGCGTCCAGGTCCACGGCCCCTGCGGATGGTCACGGTCACAGGAGGGGACACAGCCCTGCTGGGTGTCCCCATCCCTCTGCCCCACAGCTCACCCTCGTAGGTGCAGTAGTAGAAGACGTTGAGGGCCTCCACGGCGGCCGGGCCGCGCTGCTTGTACCCAAAAATGAGGTCGATCCACTCGTGGAGGTGAGCTGAGACATATTCCGACTCCTGTCCAAGGATGGGCCATCAGGGTGGGCTGGGAACGGCCCCGGAACGCCCCCAGGGCTGAACAGGCTCCCGGTCTCACCAGGGCTTTGCGGTGCTGCTGGATGAAGTCCTCGCGGGAGCGCGCCCAGCGCGGCAGCACCACGTCCCCGACCTTCTCATTGGAGAGCTGGAGGCAGCCCAGGTCAAAGCCTGCGGGCAGGAGGGGGATGATGAGGGACACAGACCCCGCTGTGCTCCCCCGGCGGTGACCACGGTGTCCCTCACCGTTCTGGTTCTCCAGGAACTCCGGGAAGTAGAAGAACTCCGGGATGAGCTCCTTGACATCCACCGGGTTCTCCATGCGGGCTTGCCAGGCTGCCGGCACCGAGTGGAACTGCCGGTCTGAGCAGTCAAACCTGGGGGCACAGGACAGCACAGGACACCTGGCTGGAGCCTGGCTGTCCCCACGCTGTCCCCTCTGCAGGATCCACCTGCCGGGTGCCCACCTGCCGCTCTGCAGCTGGATGTGGAGGGTGGTGAAGGGCTCGGTGCGGATCAGGTAGTGCATCACCCCGGCGGCGTTGGAGTAGTGAGTGCCATAGTGGAACTTGTCCACCGTGCCCGTGGGGTCCTCGAAGCTCTCGTACCTGCAGGACAGGTGGGATGGGGTCCACTAGGAGCCAGCCAGGTGCTCCCCGCACCCCACACCCTTGGTTTGTGGGGTACTCACTTCTCCTTGACGTCGCGGGCGTGCCGCTCGTTGGCCACCCCGATGGGCTTGGACAGGTCCCGGAACACGGCCGGGTTGGTGAGGTCCAGGGTCTCCGAGACGTAATCCCGCAGGATCCAGGGGAACTGGGGGGGGCGGGAGGTGGGTGAGGTGGGAGGGGACGGGGTCACTGTGGGGACAGTGGGGGACGCAGGGGCTCACCACGGGGTACTGGGACAGGTCGTTGTAGGTGCGCCCCGCGATGGTGTTCAGCTGCATGAGGTACTCGAAGTTGGAGATCTCCCGCAGGACCCATTTCTGGGGAGAAGGGAGAGAGAGGAGATGGGCCTGGGGGGAGGAGACAGGGCAGACAGCCCCCACCCCATGGCAGCGCCTGTCCCTGGGCCATCCCTGCTTCTAAAGCTGTCCCCAGTCCTGCGGCCACCACTGGTCCCACAGTTGTCCCCAGAACTGTGGCCATGTCCTCCCCATGGCCATCCCTGGTTCTACAGTCACCTCTGGTCCAGTGGCCACCCCCACCCTAAAGCCATCCCCTGTTCCATGGCCATCCCTGCCCTCAGACCATCCCATGTCCCATGGTTGTCCTCTGTCCCATGATCGTCCTCACCCCATGGCCATCCCTGGTCCCATGGCCATTCCCAACAGTCATCCCTGATCCCCATCCATATCCATGTCCATATCCATGTCCATGTCCATGTCCATGTCCATCCCTGGTCCCATGGCCGTTCCCAACAGTCATCCCTGATCCCCATCCATATCCATATCCATGTCCATGTCCATGTCCATGTCCATGGCCACTCCCAGATCCACAGCCATCCCTGTTTTCCATGTCCATGTCCATCCCTGGTCCCATGGCCACGCCCAGATCCACAGCCATCCCTGTTTTCCTGTCCATGTCCATCCCTGGTCCCATGGCCACGCCCAGATCCACAGCCATCCCTGTTTCCCTGTCCATGTCCATCCCTGGTCCCGTGTCCATCCCCACCCCACGCTGTCACCTTTCCCTTTTCCACCTGGGAAGGGGACACACGGAGCGGGGGTGGCCGTGGTGGGGCCGGTACCTGTGTGAGCCCCGAGGCTTTGAGCAGCTCCTGGGGGGACCGGCTGCCAAAATAGGTCTGGTTGGGGGGCCGCAGGCCGAGGATGCAGGAATACACCTTGTTCCTCACCTGGTGGGACAGAAGGTCGTGGAGCTGCCGGAGCTCGGGCAGAGCTGTGGCCCTGGGAGGGATCTGGGAGGGGGTGAGGGGGTCCTCACCTTCTTCCTGAAGTTGAGGAAGTAGTTGGCCTGGTCGATGAAGAAGAGCTCGAGGGCGGAGCGGCGCAGGTTGTAGCGGCGCAGGTGGACCTCGCGCAGGTGGGACAAGGGGCGCTTGAAATCGTAGCCGATCCCTGCCGAGGGTGGGGGGACGCAGAGCCCCCCCCAGGTGTCACCATCCCGCCGTTCCCGAGGCGGGGATGGGGCTGGGGTTCCTCACACCCCTCAAGCAGCGCCCGCCGTTACCTCCCTCCGTCTCCTCCTTCTCGCCGCTGCCGTCGTAGAAATAAACGTGCTGGGTTGTCACCTCCAGGCGCCCAGGGACCACGGCCACCGTGGTGATGAGCTCGCAGTCCTCTGACACCACCAGCTTCTCCCGCTGGTTCTGCTCCTTGGGCTCAGCCCTGGGGGGCACAGCGGGGTGAGGACACTCCGCTGACACCCCCAGCCCGCGTGAGCTGGCGCTGTGGCAGTGGTGGGGTCACTCACTGGTTGTCCAGGACAGGGAGGTCCTCCTCGGCCAGCTGGTCATCCTCCAGCTCGCTCACCTTGGCCTCCTTGGCCATGGCAAGCGGGAGGGACTCGGTGGGGTTCTGGAGGTGGTCAGCTCCTGAAATGAGGAGGGGGTCAGCAGTACCCACCACCCCCCGAGCTGGGGGCAACTCCCGGGAAGGGGCCCCAAATTCAGCGCTGTCCACGACATCTCCCAGCCTGAACCCACTGGTGACATCCCCTGCCCGTGGCACAGGGGGACCCCCAGGTGCCCCAGTGCCACCACCTCACCCAGATTGTCCCGTAGGGCGCTGGCCTCCAAGTGCTGGTCGAAATTGAGGTTGGGCACCAGCTTCAGCCTCATCCGGGAGTAGGTCTCGGCACTTGACAGCTTCCAGCGAACCTCCGGTGGGTTCCTGGGGGACAGCTGGGGGTGAGGCCCCCTGGGGACCCCTGGCTGTGCCACCCATCCCTGGGGACGAGGTGGGGACTCACCGGTCGGCCCAGGCGGAGCGGGGCGAGGTGAGCAGGCGGCACAGGGACCGCCACTGCTTGAGCACGGTGCTGTGGTGGTTGTTGGCCTGCTTGAGGACGTTGGCGTGACGGGCGTTCTCCGCCTTGCAGCGCTTCGCCACCGGCTCCAGCACCAGCTCCTGACAAAGAGGCACCAGAGTGAAGGGACAACAGGTCTGGGGCTTGGGGACATCCATAGGGTGACAACCTCAGGGTAAGGAGAACATCCCCAGGATGATGTGGTTGGGATGAGGAGCTCATCCTAGGGATGACATCCTGGTGGTGTCCCCATGGTGATGTGGTTGGGATGAGGAGCACATCCCAGGGATAATGTGCCTAGAACGAGGAGCGCATCCTCTGGACAATGTCCCCAGGAGGAGGAGGAACACCTCCTGAAGGCAATGTCCCCAGGAGGAGGAGCATCCCCTGGACAATGTCCCCAGGAGGAGGAGGAGCACCTCCTGATGGCAATGTCCCCAAGAGGAGGAGCACCTCCTGAAGGCAATGTCCCCAGGAGGAGGAGGAACACCTCCTGAAGGCAATGTCCCCAGGAGGAGGAACACCTCCTGAAGGCAATGTCCCCAGGAGGAGGAACACCTCCTGAAGGCAATGTCCCCTGGAGGAGGAGGAACACCTCCTGAAGGCAATGTCCCCAGGAGGAGGAGGAGCACCTCCTGAAGGCAATGTCCCCAAGAGGAGGAGCACCTCCTGAAGGCAATGTCCCCAGGAGGAGGAACACCTCCTGAAGGCAATGTCCCCAGGAGGAGGAGCACCTCCTGAAGGCAATGTCCCCAGGAGGAGGAACACCTCCTGAAGGCAATGTCCCCAGGATAACATCCCTGGGGTGAAGAGCACAACCCCAGGATTAATATCCCAGGGAGAGGAGCACATTCCCTGAATGACATCCTCAGAGTGAGGAGCATATTCCCTGCATGACATCCTTGGGGCGAGGAGAACCCAGAGTGACAACCCAGGGTTGAGGAACACGTTCCCAAGATAAGGAGCACATCCCTGGATGACATCCTGGGGGTGACCCTGGATGACATCCTGGGGGTGAGGAGCGTGTCTCCAGAGGAGCACATCCCTTGGATGAGATCCCTGGGGTGAGGAACACGTTCCCAGGATAAGGAGTTTATCCCCTGGATGACATCCTGGGAGTGAGGAACACATCCCCAGAACGAGGAGCACCCAGAGTGACACCCCAGGGTGTCCCCAGGAGGAAGAGCAGGCCCCAGGGTGACATTCCAGGGACAAGGAGCAGGCAGTACCTGGAACAACTTGCGGCTGGCCGCCTTCTCCTGCTCCCGGCGCTGGGAGCTGCTCATCATGGCATCGTAACAGGCATTCCAGAAATTGGACATCAGGTCGTGGCTCCTGGCAAACGTGTCCATCTCAAACTGGGCCATGGTGGGCTGCACCTGGATGAGCAGAGAGGCATTTCCAGGCACCCACCACCCGTCATTGCGGCGACCCCGCCACAACGACCCCACCCCACGGCACCCACGTGCTTCTCGATGAAGCCCCTCCACTCCGGGGTGCTGCAGAAGAGCTGGAAATCCTCGTAGAAGGTGGGGCTGCCGTTGGTGGGGGGCAGAGAGGGCAGGAACTGCTGCAGCTGCAGGGTCTCGTAGCACTGATCCATGAGTGTGCGGATGATGGGCACCAACCAGGAGAAGGCCTCCGACCTGGAATCCAGGGAGCGCCGCAGGGGCGTCTCCAGCTTCCCCAGCAGGTAACAGGCCTCGTCCCTCCGCGGGGCTGAGGTGGTCTGCAGGAGGCTGTGCAGCTTGACGTAGGCCAGCGAGTGCAGCTGGGGGGACAGGGAGGTCAGGCGGGGCCGGCGCGGGGCCGGCGCGGTGCCCAGGGAGGGGTGACCCACCTGGGGGTCCTGCAGCAGGATGTACCCGAGGAGCACCCGCAGGCCCGTCTGCGCCATCTCCCTCAGGTCGGAGGTGCCGTTGGACAGGTGGTGCCACACGCCCAGCTTGTCCAGCAGGCTGCTGACACCCTCGTAGATCTGGGGGGACACCGTGAGCCCCCCGGCTGGCCAGGAATCCCACCCCTGCCGAGCCACCGGCTCTGGCACCATCACCCAGCCCTCCTCGGATTGGGGTTTGGGTTTGGGGTTAGGGTACAACCCAACTTGTGACAAACCAGTCTGGGTTTGGGGCTCAGGAATTATGGTCTGGGGTCAGGATTAGGGCTGGGGTATAAGACTGGAGTTGGGGTTGAGCTTTAGGACAAAGGTACAGCAGTAAGGTTTAGGATTAGGATGTAGGAAGTACAGCGAGATTACAGGCTGTGAGTTAAGGTTAGGGTTCAGGTTTACAGAAAGAGTTAGGGTTAAGATTAGGATTAAGGGTTGGGTTTTACGACAAAAATGTGGAGTTAAGGTTTAGGATTATGATTTAGGAGGTACAGTTAAATTTAGAGTTAATCTTAGGGTTTAAGTTTAGGGTTTAGAGTACAAAGGGTTGCATTTATGGTAAAGGTTTAATATTAAACTTTAGGATTAAGGGTTAGGATTAAATTTTAAGGATTAGGATCGGGCTTTCATTTAAGATTACAAATAAGGCAGAGGTTATTTCCTAAAATTAGGAATTTGATTTCGATTCAGGAATAAGTCTGAGTTTATGTTCAAGTTCTCCAGGTGGGGCTGGGTTTAGGGCCAGGGTTGACATAAGGGATTAGCAGAACTGGGGTTTGGGATCGGGAATCCCTGCTCATTCCCATCCACCTTCTCGCTCCACAGGGCCTGGTTGTTGTGTCCCTCGGAGAAGAGGAAATCCTGGAGCAGCCGCAGCAGCTTGAGGGCATTGTGGGTGAGCCCAGGCAGCGCGGCCGTGCCCGACTCCTTCAGGTCGGTCAGCGCCGACTCCAGCATCATCTCCAGCAGGCTGCGGGACAACAGTGGCTCCAGAGGGTGCCCTTCCCTCGGGATCCACCCCCGGGATGCAGGTGAACCTCACCTGCGCTTGATCTCGTCCGGAGGCCGCACCAGCTCGCAGGCCGTGCCCAGCTTGGTGAGCACGGAGAAGACCTGGCCACGTTCCCTCCAGGCCGCGTCGTCCCAGCCCTCCACCCCGCGCCACGTCACCGAGAAGATGATGTTGGTCAGGAGGTTGCACAGCTCCTCCTCGGGGGTTTGCTGCCGGTGGAGAGGAAGGTGAGAGGTGCCCGCAGTGCCCCAGGACGGTGGGATGAGGGTTTGGGGCTCACCTGGGGGTTGCTGGTGTTGGAGATGTTGTCGCTGGGCAGCGCGTCCTGGTAGCTGCTCTCATCCAGGACGTTGGACAGGCTGGAGCTCTTGCGCGCTCGCATTCCCGGGAAGGGCTTGAAGCTCTCCAGGGGCGAGGGGGTGCCGGGGCCGCTGGCCGGGGTCTGGGTGCCGCTCTCGGCCGTGGCCATGGAGCTGGTGCTGGCCAGGTCCAGCCCCAGGTCGAAGGGCGAGGTGGAGAAGGGGGACAGCGGGTGGTAGACGCCGTCGAAGGGGGGACCGTCCCCGGGGTTGGACGACGAGCGGCTGGCCCGGTCTGAGGAGTCGAAGGACTTGAAGTTGTAGGAGTGGAAGGACTTGGTGCGACCGCTCGGGGAGATGGAGTGGTCGGAGAAGCCCTCGGAGAGCTCCTGGTCCGAGGCCTCGTATCCC